ACAGGAAACTCGTCCAAAATTGATTTCTAACACATTGAGAACGGAGGCTCTTTCTTCGCAGGATTTTGACCGTTTCACTCCGTTCTTTCGCCATTTCCCCACTATATAGCGCCCTACTAGCATTTTAGGCCGAGCACCAAATCATCGTGCCAACTGCCTTTAAAGGCAAAGCCCGCGACCACAGATTGCGGGTAACGGAGCTCAAATACGAACGACATAGTGCTAGGTAAATGTTAAGTGGAGAAAAAAGCAGACAAAGCACTCCGACACCTAAATGGGACTTCATGCCGACCCCAACTTGTAAGTGCAAGATGGGAAGGCGTGTTGGTACAAATTTCCAGTCGTCGTTATCATGACGATATCAGCTCGTTTATCTTATCACCTCACTCTCACCCTTCGGAATGGAGAGAGATAGCTAGTAGCCACCAGGGGTCGGCATGTCCTAACAAGAAGGGGCCCAGTTGGTCAGATCCCACCGAAGTTCCTGCCAATTTTCACCTTTGAAGGTATCACAGCCTTTACATCGCCTTTCGGATCATCTTACACATTTGAGAGGTTTTAGCATTTTTTTTTAATCGTGCCTTTAAGAAGTTGCCAAACGATTGTGGAGGGATGCGCACTGACCACATGCATCGCGCGGTATTCTTGGATAAAATGACACCACAAGAGTTCCGTGTGTGAACCTCCACAGAAGGTTCCCACAGGTCGCTTTTGCGTTGGTGAAGGTGGAAACGGCGCACTACGTAGTACACGCCAACTATTAGGTTGTTGCATAAGTTCTTATACACGTGCTTTGATCCTCTCCTATTTCGTTCGCATGGATGTTGGTATTACGTCATCACGTGTGCGTGACGTGTACATTATACTCTTTCATTACACTAGCTATCACTCACCGAGCTTGCATTTGCAGTACACAATGTCGCACAATTTGCACTGTGACCTGCGCCACTGCCTGGTTTTGCTTAACGATTCACAAAAGAAGCTTCGCGTTCTCAACTCGATGATCACTGGAGATGAGAAGTGGGTCCTCTACGATAACCCTGTGAGGGAGCAGGAGTGGGTCGACAAAGGAGAACAGCCAGAAGCCACCTCAAAGGCCGACCTTCACCCCAAAAAGGTTCTCCTGTCCTGTTGGTGGTCCAGAAGAGGCATGGAGTACTTTGAGCTGCTGGAGAAAGGACAAACGATTGAAGCTTCCACATACGTGACCCAGCTGCGGAAATTGAAAGATCCCGTACTCGTGGAAGGAATGCGGAAATCTACTTCCACCATGACAACGCCCGACCTCACACTGCAAAGGCGACCCAGGCCGAGCTGGAGAAGTACGGATGGCTGATGGTCGCCCACCCTCCCTACAGCCCTGACCTCGCTTTCCTATCTGGATAGGCTGTTCAGCACCTGCAGGCGCCTATCTGAGAAAAAAGTATCAGAAACAAAGGATTCATTGTCAGAAAGGCGCTCGACGACTTCTTCAAGTCCCGCCTCCGTCTTTCTGGAAGGATGGAATCGAACAAGCCGCCTGAGCGCTGGCGTCGAGTAGTGAATGGTGATGGTGCATACCTCTAATCTCCAGGCTGGTTCGTTTTGAGATATTTACAAAAAAGTCGTGTATAAGAACTTATGCGACAACCTAATACGTGTACAGCCAACTACATGGCAAACTCTGAAGTGCGCTGACCATGAGAATGAAAACCACCAACTAGGCAGCCCATCAAGTAAAATTGCACAGTAAAATTTTATCCACAACAAAAGGATGAAGCAGGGGCTCAAACAATCCATACTGCATCCCTCAGTCCCCAGCTGTGAAAAATCATGGATTCAATATTCCTGTTATCAAGCGGAACTAACGACAAAAAGAAGAACAAGACCACCTGTGAACCATTTAGCCTTTTCGGCCTGGAAAACCGTTGAAAAGACAAATTGGGCTTTCTTATGAGCATGTTCCGAATTATTGATGACGTTTCGAATGGTGAGGTGTATGAGAGGGGGTGCCGTGCCAGAACAACCCAACAGCTGATCAACAAGATTAATTTATGTATGAGAAACCTCGGTCGAGACCTTCCCAAGTGTATCATGTACTTCTCATCGAAAGTGATAAAGCATGGCCCATTAGAAATTGGGCACAATTCCCTCGTACGCTCAACCTACGTTTGAAAATAGTTATCGCTGGGCTGATACCTCAAGAAAGAAACAACAGATGTTGTGCTTCTTATCTCTGTAGTATGATACACGTTGGTGCAAAAGTTGCAGTTGTAGGAAGCACGTCTAGCTGAAGTCCCACAAACGAATCGGTTCGCCCTTTCCGAGGTTCCCTCCCTTACAGGCATAGGATGAAGGGCTCACTCACTGGTTTCAGCTGCCTATTCGCACTTTTCAGCGTTGAGTGCCTCGCCTTGATGGGATACCAGTCTACGACTGTGCTAAATTCATGGCCTGCCCATGATATTGCGAAGTTAATCTAAAAGTACACTCACTTGAGCAGCTTAGCACGCGGTCCATTCAGTCTTAGCCTTGGAGCGCGATCGAAGGAGACGCGAGTGCGTTGTACGGGCGACCGAGGCGCTGCCTGGCAAAATCTGAACACTGTTTAATGTGGTAGATCTCTAAGAGTATCGTGGGTATCGTTGTACTAGTTGTTAAATACGCCTGAGATATAATGACTGTAAGTCATTCAGTCTTGATCTGGTCATCACGCGATAAGTTGCAAGGCACGGTCCCTGACCGATCCTCAGTGGGGATCGTACATAGCTGGCTGAGAGAAAATTACATTGTGACGTGTTGTGAGCCCCTCACATCTGAATGCTGAGTACTTTTCTTGAGAACAAGGTGTAAGGATGTGCGTTGAAGTTGAACGGTAGGTTGAGGGGGTCGTACATGAGGCGAGTGTTGTACTGCTGGCGCACCAATTTTCCCCTAATTTGGTTGCATGAGCTGTGACACTCTACCTTACGGCCACGAATCACCCACTATATGTAATTTGCTTCGTCTGCCTGTTTGTTTGTTTTTTGTCTGTCCGGAAATTCGGTTCGACCTGAAGAACAACTTAGAGAGGTCGGGTCAACATGGGTATGGGTGGGGCATGGGACAAGATGTATAGAGCTCACATGGCCCATGCTAAGCCCCGCCCACACTGGGCGGGGCGAGCGCCGAAACTCGGCAGTGCCAAAAACTCAAAACTCGCTTCTAGAGCAGCCCAGAGATGGCGAAAAAGTGGGACAAGGTTAGCAGGGGGTTGTCAGACTACCTGGGGAGACATGCCCGGGATGGGCGAGGCGTGCTTGAACTAGGCGGTGCTCACCACAAAATTTATTACCTCGTTCCCCCCGAGAAAATTGAAATAAAAAATGAAATTAATTTCTTAGAAGTTAGAAGTGGGGAAAAGTCAGCTAAGGAGGGCAATATCTGGCGAGTTTCTCACGCCTGAACACCCGCTTACAGTGAGCGGAGCTCGCCCCCAATCACAAGGTGGTCATTTTAAAAACTTGTAGCTTGGTTCCAGAGCACTCCAGAGCCCCGAAAAAAAGTAACGTCAGCGAGTGGTCGCCGGTCAATAAATGCGGGGCACACATATTTTGGGCGGAGCCAGGCGAAAAGTCTGTAGGACGGTGAAAGAACGCTCAGGAGGCAGGAAAAAGTAGATTGAGGTCAGCAAAGGGTCGCTGCTTGAGAATGGGACACACTCGCTGTGAGCGGAGCCTGTTCCGAGATGGGCAGAGTCAGAAAGAAACTCAGTGAAAAGTTCCTAGAGCACTCCGGACACTGCTAAAAAGTGGATAGTAGTTGAAAGGGACCACCGGTCGACACCCTTTGTGGGCGGAGCCAAGCTCAAAAATTTATAGAACGATTCCAGAGCACTTCAGACACTGGGGAAATGTGGACCGAGGTAAGTGAGGAGTCACCGGTTTGGGGGTGCAAGACGCATCCATTGTGGGCGGAGCGTGCGACGAGGCGGGCGGAGCCAAAAGCAAAAATCTGTAAAATGGTTCCAGAACAGACTCCAGACACCGGCAAAGGCGAGCAAAGATGTGCAGGAGCTCGCTATGAAGCGAGATTTACGCGCCCATTGTGTGCGGAGCTGTGTCGATGTGGGCGGGTGAAGGTCAAAAATTCACGAATCAGTTGCAGACAGCACAAGCACCAGAAACAAAAGGATTGAGGTCCACAAGGGGTTAGCGGACAAAAAAGGGGAGTCATACCAAAAATAGGCGGAATGCTTTCGAGGTGGGCGGTGCTTGCTGCAAAATTTCCTGGTTCCGATCTGACCATGAGTGAGCTTGGAGATCAGAAGAAACTGTTGGAAAAGAGAAAAAGATGGCGAGAGTTGAGTGTATCTGTGGTGTGTTGAGACCTGCCCACATTGGGTGGAGCGTGTCCTCAAGCATGAGGTACCTATTTTCAGTGCGTTTTAGTGCCTAGGCTGTCATACTCTTGAACGCCTATCGTCTGGGTTGTCGTTTTTGATACCAAGTCAGTTCGCATGGCTGATGCCGGCGGCGAACTTATTTAAATGATATCCGCCAGCATTTTCCCGGTTTTGCTTAGCCTTCGTACCGCCTACCTGCTTGTAATGTTTGAATGCTCAAGCTAACCCAATTTCTCTCCTCACCTGCGCTTGATCAACGCTGCCCACCATTTCATAGACGGTATTAGTGTCGAAAGTAGCAGGTATGATGTTAGGTCAAGGAGCGTTGACAATGTGTACGGGTGAAAGAAAAGAAGGATAGCTGATGAGTATCCAAACATGTAAAAGAAGGTACGCGCGGCGAAGCCGGGCCCATGCTAGAAGGAGGCGCGCCAGCGTCAGCCGGCGTGCCGACTGGTTTCAGTACATTCCGTAATGACAAGAGAGAACTAAACTCGGAATGTTTACTAGGAAAACTTCAACAATCAGAAAAAGAAACAAGCCCACGGTTAACAACAGAGCTTCAAGCTTAACAAAAGTTAGAAGATATGTGTGGCATACGAAATCTACAGTATTTACAGAGGTTGAGCGCAATTTATCACTTCCATGGTGGTTTTGCTCTGGTCGCTGGAGTGCTCGACCTAGAACTGACAGTACGAAGTCGAGAGGCTGAGGTGCTTCGCCACAGACGACCACCTCGATCGGAATCCCTGAAAAGCCAATTAAGGCAATAGTTGGGAGCTTTTTGCTGCCTGTATTTCAGGCGAATATTGTAAGGGAACGAACTATTGCAACGGAAAAATGAACCACTCACATCTTTTTTTGTAAGGCCTCAGAGAGCAGGGCAATATCCAAAGCTGACCCGGTTTTCGATGTCAGCCCTTTTGGATAGATCGTCTTGTAGGAAGAGATGTCTAAAAATAAGACAATCAAGTTCTGAAGGAAATGACACCATGTTCACCTCGACTTAAGTTCCACTTACTGCCAGGTAAAAAAATGGCCCTGTAGCCTCGTTGGTGTAGCGTAGCCGTCGCTGTAGCGGCCGATTGACCGTATATGACCAAGGTTTGGTTCGCAAGCCGAGCTGATGACAACAACGGTGTCTCGAAGTGATTACGAGAGAGCATGAAACGGTTGTAGTGCTCCGCTGAAATCAGTCACACCCTGATAAAGGTCGGGAATAATAAGTTTTCTCAGTAACAAGAAAAAAGTTAGGCCCTAATTACCCTTAAGTGCTCATTACATCCCAAAATCAGTCCAATTTACCGACCCTTTTCTCAGAAGACATACTTGGCGAAGAGTCCTTTATGGGAGTAGTTCGACCTACTAAATACGAATATCACATCAACTTGCCCCGAAATCATGTGGTACCCGCGCCACAGGCGCCGGCAACAAGATGCACTAAATCACCAGATGTGCTGGAAACTAGTTCCACGGTAGTTTGACCTCCTTAACACAGTAACGCATCTGCGTGGGGTTCCAAGGGAAATAGGGTTGGAGAAAGGGGTACACGTGAGAGCGCGGCCCGCTTTTGCCTGCGGCACCATTCCCTCGAGACACCGATCCCTTCTCCTCACAAAGCTGAGTCTTAGCAAAGAGAGGGATCACCATCAGCAGAAAGTATGGTAACGTTTGGACTGAGCAAAACACAGATAATGGTTCTCATCAGAGAGTGTCTGAACTGCAATATATTCAAGTGGTCAGGGAGATATTTCTCGCAGATTAAAAGACTTGCGATGGGACAGCGGCTGGCACCGGTCCTCGCTGTCTACTTCATGAGCAGAATCGAACGTCCTGTGCTGGCACGCTTCACCCATTTTGTACTGCCGTTACATCGATGACTGTTGCGTTATCACTTCTACTCAGTCCGAAATGGACGAGTTGTTTGATATCCTCAATAGCCAATCGCAGTACATCAAGTTAACTCGAGAAGTTTCGCGCGAAGGTTGGTTACCCTACCTGAACACTCAAATAAAGGTAACCACTGGACACTACAATGTGAAATGGTACAGGAAAGGAGAGCTCCAAGAACATCATCATTCACGCAATGTCGGCTCACCCCAGAGCGGTTAAACGTGCAGTGGTACGAAACATGTACAAAAGCAATTAGGTTATGCACCGGCAACGAGGAGCAAGAAGAATCCAGGAGATTAGCCACTCAGATAGCTAATCTTAACGGATACACAGCCTTGGCAGCAACGGCGTACGCGAAACACAGCGAGACCTTTCCCACATAGAGCTGAAGACAAGCTGTATCTTCAGCTACCGTTCATATCGGACCGCTCCACCGCAGCCATACAACAGTGCCTCCGAAGAACCGATTTGACCAGCGATGTTTACTTTTTGGTAAACACAGCAAGGGACAGTATCAACACCAAATGGTCACAAATCGCCTCTATGACCGAATATGCACTACGGATTACTGCGTGATCTGTCCATATGAGGAAGTTGGGGAGTGTGTACGGGATCCGGGCGATTCCATCGTCGGCGAGTCAGGTCACGCTCGCGCACAGCGGCGAGGTCGGCGTCGACGGCGGTCTCCGCTGCGGCGGCGCGGTGCGACAGATTCGCAGAGTTTTGGCATTACCCGACACTACAATATAGCTCGAAAGACTGCGTTTCACATAGTTCCGGAAGCCCAAAATTGGACGGCAGGTAATTTTGAACAAATAACGTGGGACCCGTCTTACACCCTTTACTTGAATGCGGAAAAAACATTCATTGATCATCATAGGAAAATGGGACAAGCAGTACAGGATTAACATAAACAATATGGCTTGATGATCATTTTAAGCAATTTCAAGCTGACAATGGCGCCAGCTGGACTCGTAGGTCGGCTCCCACCAGCCGCGCGCGACGACGTACTTGATCTGAGATCGATAGAATCGCCACACACCCAGTGTGTACAAAGGGCTGTAGTCTACCGAATCATCCTTAACGTGTGATGCACTATATATTGGTGAAACTGGGAGACAGTTAGGGACACGCCTGAAGAACATCTAGCAAGCAAACGAAGGGAAAGTTTGATTGCACCGCTTGGCAGGCATAGAAGAGAACACCATGATTTTAGCGTTGAATACAAAATACTGGCCTACGAAAACGATGTTGGTGCCCGAAAAACCCTTGAGGCGTTCTGGATCAAGCACCGTAATCCATGTATGAATAACAGGAATGAGTGCATCTCAATAACGGCCGATTTCTTGCCCTATATTCCACTGTGTGAGCTTTAACAGTGAGAACATGATGCACTGCACGTATGCCCACTATCATCCTATAGCAGTGCTCATTCAGTCTCATTTGCTCCATAGTGTCGGCGTTGAGCAGTGTGCTCGATAAGCACCAAGTTATGAAGGACGGGCGATTTATGACAAGCAAAGGCTCCCGCAACGAAGAGCGCTAAGGCGCGAAAACCGCCCACACATGTCAAGGCATATTTCGTAATTCACTTTCGTCCCGCGTCACCCCAGCATTTAGTCGTGTCCTTATCGTGCCATTCGTCGCCTCATGCTTTAAACTTGTGGTCACAGTGTAAACTCTGTTGTTCTAATTGCACATCTACTTCCGTTTCTAACTCCGTTCGAAGTATGTTCAACCATACCTCACCCACATGTAGTCATGTTTCTGTTTCTGTTTCACGTTCAGTCATGTTTGATGTCTCGCATATCGTTCAGAAGCCGGTTGTCACACTCATACATCATATTCACTTCATATCAACTCAGAAGCATAACCGTAGATGTTCATGTTCACTAATTAGACAATTCAATTCATGCAATCGAATTCCATTTCTTAACATTGATATGATGGTATCCTATATTGTTCGTATCACAGATTTTGATTTAATCACATTTATTGTTGAAGTTCGAAGTTTCTTTTCTAAGATAAATGTTTAATTACCCAAGTTTGAGGTTTGTACTGGTGTCTGGACGGTCGCCCGACCTTGAATATTTCTGTGGTATTCTCTGTTATTGACTATTGCACAGGATTATCTCAGATTCGCTAGACCCGCGTGGCAACGAGGACGGCTCGGCAAGACGACGGCGGATAAGAAAGTGAGCCTTCAGACAGTGACATTCAGTACAAGCAGTTCATTGATGCTTGTGGGAGTGGAGATGTAATTTGAGCTCCCCTTCACTGGTAGTCTGTTGGTCTGAGTAGCAACTAGTTAGGAACGGGTTTAGGTTGAACAGGATAGATAGCTCTCATGAGTTTCGATATGCTTTCAGGCGTTTGATAACGACGAAACCGTCGAAGCGTCAGGCAATAAACGCTTCCACCATACAAACCTGTACGGCATAGAAAAGAAATTATTGAACTTATAAATAGAAATGACCAGGTTACAAGAAAGACGAACATGAACAGGGACATTATTCTAGGCGACCGGCAAACTCTCGCAGTGTTTCGGAAGCACTCGTACTACTGTGCTCGGCACAAAAGCGACTGCAGCCCGTTATACATGCGCCGTCGTCAAAAGAAAGCATGTGGTGTCTCCCTGAATGTGATGTTCGTGTTCAAGAGATTAAAGCACCCTCTGGAGCAAGTTTCTGATAATTCGGTGATTTAGGGTATTTTCACGCCGACGCCTGTGGCACGAGCGCGAAGTGGTTTTGAGGCAACTGGGTGCGGTATTCGTGTTCAGGAGGGTAAACACGAGGAAAATTTTTCAACCAAATCTGATCATAGGAGAAAAAAAAGTCAATAAAACTGGCTTTTTTCCAGAAGGAAAGCGCATGGGGAGCCATCAAACGATTGCATAAAAGTGGATGAAGCAGGTGCGAAGTGGAGTAGGAGCGCGACCGGATAGAGGGGTGAAGACGGACCGAATCTTTTTTGCGGAATGGCCAATGAAGACGTGAACATATCTAGTTCGCTAAAAAAGATTTGTATCAGTGCAGGAGGCCGAGGAAATCTTGAGAAGAATGGAGAGGTGATATAACACACTCAAAGCAAACCATTGCTGCTTTATAGTGGTTTTTGTATGCAGTTCTATCATGCGCCTATTTGTTCGACTTACTGTACTGAAGGAATTACGTATATTTCAATGCGCCACGTCGGCACTCGGAGGGGGGGGGGGGGAAAGGCGTTAAACGACCATTCAATCCAATCACTAAAACTTTCCGCTTTCAACTCGACTTTCAGAGTTCTTTTCAAATATACTTGGATGAACCGAGATGGCTAGAAGCAAAACACATTCTAGTTCTATTCAGAGCATAATAGGGAGATTGAAGAGCTAATTGCTCGGAAGGGATTCGATTCAGTACTCAACCTAGCGATTATGTACGGTAATGCACCATCCACCACTGTCATACCTTGGATTCTTTTTCATTACTGGTCTCATAAGGTTCAGACCATAAAAATCAGAGCATATGGCTGTGTTCACACTTTGCGGCAGCGTACGTCAGCGTACGCTAGCGTTTCCAGCGTTCGCAGTGACAAGGAAAGGATAGATATCGATCTAGCGTTTGCCAGCGTTTCACTAGCGTTTGCCAGCGTTTCACTAGCGTTTGCCAGCGGCGGGACTAGAGAGTATGGGAGAGTAGGAGAGTAGCGAACGGCTCGATTAGGCGTCGTGGAATTGCGGCGTGTGCAACCGCACCGCATTACTAGACAATACCGTACACTAAATTGGTTAAATTGCATAATTCTGTGGTTTGGCTCTTGGAACGAAATGTTTATTACATTGTCAAAATCGGAATTGAACGAACTATGAAAACGCCATCTTGCAAGTACCACATCCTTTTTTAGGGCTGATGTGTTGGAAATTGTTCGTTTTAGTAATTCTTATGAACGTTCTCGGGACGAATATACGGCCGACACATACATGGTCATTCTTATGGAAGATATTAAACGATCCCACGCTGTTTTATCTTTACAATTATGCATTATGCAGTTCAACCATTGCATTATGCAATTTAACCAATTTAGTGTACGGTATTGTCTAGTAGTGCGGTGCGGTTGCACACGCCGCAATTCCACGACGCCTAATCGAGCCGTTCGCTACTCTCCTACTCTCCCATACTCTCTAGTCCCCGCCGCTGGCAAACGCTAGTGAAACGCTGGAAACGCTAGATCGATATCTATCCTTTCCTTGTCGCTACCACTGCCGGACGCTGGAAACGCTAGCGTACGC